TTGCACCTGCCAGGCAGGTGCTTTTGCCACTGAGCTAAATCCCCAGCACCAGGAATGCCCTTTTAATGCGTAGTGTAACCACGATTGTGTTGGGGAGCTCACCAGCCACTCACCTGATGATCTTAGGCAGATTTCCCTCCAGGAAGAAAACTTCCTCTAGATGAAGGTCCCGGAGATTTTTCAGCTGTCCGAAGTGAATAGCATAGAAGTGGGAATACCACTTCTTTTCCAATGGTGAAGGAAATATTTCAGGACTGACATTGCTAAAGTGAAATGTGTGAAGGTTTTTCATCCTCTTGAGCTGAGGAACAAATGCTTTCATGCCTTCCTTACCCCAGTCACTAAACACCTCCAGTTCATGGATGGAATCCAGTCGAACAGGTTGCAGAAGCTTCAGGACTTTAAATATAGCGGTGGACTTGATCAACAACTTCTCACAGTACACGGGTACGGAAGCTTTTCTCTTCCTGGCCCACTTCAAGAGGCAGAGTTGTAAGTTGTCCTCAGTGGCAGAAAATGGACTCAAGGCAACAAAACAAAGGTTTGCGAATATTCTCAAGGCTGGCTTCTTCACACATAAAGCAGGCTTGTAAATGTCCTCATTTCTGGCATCGACCATGTGAGCAGCATTCATGGCTCTGGGTCCTACAGTCCAGAAGTCCCGGTGTACATGTCTCCAGTCCAGCACCTGCAGTTTCCACCTGCTGTGTGTAAGACAGGAAGAAACCTCAGAATTGAGATAAAGGATACAATTCCTACCTGGCCTTCTCTTCCACTTTGTGAGCTGCACCCCTACTTTTCTTGCCTTCATCTTCTACCCTTTTAACCTGTGCATGCAGCTTGGTTCAACTTCTTGACCTGTGAGAGTTAGAAGATGCAGGTTCCTGCTGAGTTTACTGCATCTTTTACATGCAGCCTTCTCCTCAGGAAACCCCTTTCAGAGGTGCTGCTTAGCAAAGGCCAAAACCTCTATGTTCCTCCTCAACACCAGAAACTGCTGCACACTTTAGTTTCCTTTGATCCTTGACGCCCATTGTCCCTGCCCTGAACTCCCAGGACACGCCTTCCAGTATTCATGAATGATGCTCACCTGTGCCGAACCTTCTGAGACAGCTGTCTATCAATTCCATCCAGTATGGCTTGTAGCGAGTGTAGGTTTCTCTTTTGCAGTGTGATTTCTGCATACTGAGTATATGGCATCCTCAAATCCATTAGGGTCCTCAAAGGTAGATAGGGGAATGGCCAGGCCTGCACCATCCCTTTCAGGACCTCATTGTGTTCCCTTATAAAGGCATCAATGAATAAGTCATGGAAGATCATGTTGGGCAGGTCATGCAGAGTAGTGCTGGCTATGGTGTCACTCTTCAGCAGGCTCTGCTTGGCCAGCTCATACAGAGGCTTTGGGTTCTGCATGCTCATCCTGAGATATCTGCAAGGAGAAGTAACCTGGGTAATATTATGGATGCAGCATCTGTTCAGAGCAAGCTCAGAAATGCCTTTAACCCCCATGAAAACCAACTCAGAGCTAAGGTCCCTGGTCTGGCCATGGTGAAGCCCTCTCAGTTTACCAAAGTTTCTCTCAGCTGGGTGACTGTAAAGCCTAACCTGTGCACCTGTTGGTACCAGGACCCCACTATTGTATCCACTTTAAGCCA